CAAATATCTTTGAACACTGCTTCTTGTTCTCCGAAAAGGCCAGGAGAGTTACGTAGATTCTTAGCTAACACTTGTCCCATTGTAACCCTCACTGCAGAGCGAGTCTGTCCAGAGCAAGAGCGGGAATTCTATCCAACAGAGCATGGGCTCTGTGCTCAGCCCCGTCCACCAGCAGCTGAAGAGCGTGCAGGGTTCTGCAATCCTGAGCCTTCCAAACTAGGGCCAGCTGGGCACCGAGGACCACTCTATGTGTCTGAAGCAGAGCATGTTTCACAGCGTAGCCCCACAGGCGATAGGAGGCCCAGCATCCAAGCTGGGGGGGCCACTCGGGGGGTGGCAGTGGAGGAAGTCACTAGCATCACGGATCAGGGGCCCCTGGCAGAAGCAGCATCCAGAGGCCTGTCCCCAAGGGATCAGAGGAGGTGATGCCACCCTACAGGAAACAACCTGAGGCAGCGAGAAGGATGGACATAGGCTCTGTTTGAAGTGCTGATTTGGAGGCTCGAGGAGCATCTCCACAGCAGAGCTCTTGCCTGAGTCCTCCTCAGGACCATCAAGGGATAAATATCCGTAGCAGCCTCAGTTTTGTTCATAGTGGCAAACAGACCTGTGTGCTAGTCAGCTTCGCATCCCACAGCAAAATACCAGAGGACAAGTGTTTATTTTGGCTCCCAGCTTCACAGGTCACTGTCCACTGACCACTCCATTGCTTCTAGGCCTGTGGTGAGGCAGGAGCATCATGGTGGAACAGTGCTGAGAGGAAGGCCGCTCACCTCATGCTGGCTAGGAAGCAGAGGGAGAGGAAACAGCCAGAGAGGAAGAGGCCAAGGAGAAGATAAAACCCCCAAGTCTGCATCCCCATGATCTGCTCCTTGCTAGCCAGGCCTCATCACCTGCTTCTCTCACCCTCCAAGTTACTGACTGTGATCCATCAGTGGAGTGCTCCACCAAAGCAACCAGATCGAGTTAGACACCTTAGGAGTCAAGCATCTCCTGGAAGCCCCATGTCTGAACACATGGGCCTCTGGGGGGCTTTGTAGAGCTAAAACAAAACATTCTGCTTATAATTTTGAGCCCAAAATTATTTATTAAAGGGTCTTAATAGGCCCTGGAGTCTTGGGGAGCTCAGAGTCAGACTTGGGAACTGCATTCTCAGAAGGGGCATGCATGCGACCCAGTGGGTTGGGAGGCAGGCAGTGCCCAGGCCCGGGTTCACCCTGCAGACCCAGCACAGGCACCGTGGCAGCCTTTCCCACAGCTGCCTCAGGAAGCTGAGGTCTCATGCCACATGGCACCTGTCTTCCATGCAGGGGATCGACCCTTTCTGCCTACGCCAGGTCTTCACTGGCTCGAAGCTGCATCTGGCTCTTTGCAGCTGCAGAAGAGGTTGGAAAAGAGAACTCTGGCTTCTACTTTGGGGAATGAAAGACTCAATGGGCCGAGTTCGGGTTTATGAGTGGACAGTGTTTGCCACTGGCCACACGCGTGATGACTGCTCCGTGTTTGTGCACTACTTGGTGTTTCCAGGTGTTGTTACACCCGTGACCTTCATAAAAATCAGTGGAGTGAGGTACACTGACAAATGGTCCTGCGTCAGGTGAGGGCTGGTGGGGGAAATCTGTGTCTCCCAGCCACGCAATAGCGATATCTTTCAAAGGCATCACCCAACTTTAAAGTCAGAGTGAAACTCAGAGATAAGGCAGCCTCCTTCCCACCAACCCTATGCTCTTCCAAGTTCCCAAACAGCCCCACTTGTAGGAAGAGTCTCTTTTTCTAACTGTGGTTGATGTATATTTCTGAAAGGAGATTATTTGTCCAAAAATTCAAAATTAGATAAATAACTACCACCAGATTGTGTTTGGTGCCTTCCTGTAATCTCAGCAGTCTGGGCGACTGAGGCAAGTTCAAGCCAAGTCTGGTAACATTTAGTGAGATCCTGTCTCAGATAAAAAACATTTTAAAAGCCCTGGAGACATAGCTCAGTGTAAAACCCTAAGTTCAGTCCCTAGTATGTGGGAAAAAAAAAATCCCCCAAACCCAACCCCAAACCAAAACTCAACAACAATAGATAAGTGGATAAAATCAGGATGAAGACAGGATTATCCTTGGGGAAGACATTTAAAAATTCTAGTTTTATAGCTAAGCTCTTAAAACAGCCTAGCTATCTGTCAACAGATGAATTGATGAAGAAGATTATATATTCATTGGAATATTATCCAGCCAAAAAGAAGAACAAAGTTATGTCATTTGCAGGAAAACGCAAAGTCAAATAAGACAATAAGAAAGTTAAACATCACATGGTTTCTCTCTCATGAGAAACCTAACTTGAAATTAGACCAATGAATAAAATGGAGATGGTAAAAAAATAAGAAACCGGTATCTTGGAAATGAAGAAGGGAACCAGCAGGCAAGTGATCAAGATGTACTATGTTGTATGCCTGCACCATTTCTCCAAAACAAACATTTTTATTCTGTATTGCAAACATACATTAATAAAATAAAGTGAAAAGAATCCACTCTGCAGGGGACAGCAGACAGCCTTCCACGCCTCTCCTCTGAGATTACGTCAGGTAGAGTTAGGCTGAGTTACTACTGCAGTCACCATTGATAGACTGCCTTTTTTCGTGTCTTTCACTGGATGGCGTTCTGGGGACAAAAAGATGAGGAAGACATGCTTCTTGCTCTGGGGAACCGGAGTCTGGTAAGAAAAGTCCTATAAATAGATCACGGGGGGTGTAGTTAAGAGCTTCAGCAGTAGAATGGAGAAAATGTGGTGAGAGCCTGGGGCAGGGGCAGGGCGGACCAGAGAGGGCTCTGGAGGAAGGCGGGCCTGAGACGTGTCTATGACTTCTTTCTGAGAGGCCAGTTGGGCACATTCTTAGGGATAAAACTGAAAAAAGTGCACCAATATGACCGGGCAGTGACAAGAACACCAGGTGAAAGAGTTTCTCTGATGGAAGAGTGAGCTTGGAAACTCAGGAGCTGTATAAGGGATTAGGGTTCTGAGCAGGTGTTTCTTCCATAGAATGATCTTTAGGGGTCGTGGAGGGAACCTTTTGTCTCTTCCTTCCACCCATAAAAAAAAAAAAAATCATACCAAAATCCCTGCCCAAACCAAGTTTGGTGACTCAGATTCGTAATTTTGGTGCTCTAGGAGGCTGAGGCAGGAGGATTGCAAGTTTGAAACAAACTGGGTAACTTAGTAGCTTGGTGAGACTCTGTACTGAAATGAATTTAAAATGGGTCGGGGCTGCAGCTCCGTGAGGAGGCCGGGGGACTCAATCCCCAGGACCACAAACAAAACAAACCCTCCGCGTGGGGCTCGCACACAGGCCCCTTAAAAGACCAGACAGGAAGCCGCGGTTGGGCCTGGGCAGCTGTGCACACAGCTCCAGCTCCTTTCACTCTGCTTGCTGCTGCGTCGCAGGAGCAGCCGAGACCCTGAGACTGCGCTTGGAGTCGCCCTGGACGTCTGCAGGGCTGCATCTGCGGGTTCGCTGACTGTGATTGAAAGCGTGTTTCGGGTTGCGTGTCTACTGGACACACACGCACTTCTCTCACGATGTCATTCCCTAAACATGAGTCAACAGGGAGTCACAGCCAGTACACTGCACTGAGTATCCTGTTGCCTAGAGAGGACTTAAAGCAGACGGCAGAAGTTGTGTGGCCTGTGTGCAAATACACCACCATTTATACAAGGTCCTTGGCCATTTGTGGACTCAAGTATCTGCAGGGATCTGCGAACAGCTGTAGGTGAGAATGGCTGGGTGTCAATAAAACTTTATCAGCAAAAACAGGCAGTGGCTTAAGCACCTACCTTGCTCTGCAGGACCAGATGCAAACACCATCATCTACCCCTTAGCTTGTCAGCTACTTCCAGGGCACAATTTGAGGCTGTATGTGAAGGGGCAGGGCTGGGGAGGCGAGGCCACCAGGGAAGGGCAGAGGGGCCTCAGGAAGCGAAGCAGGGTGTGGGATGGAGAGGTCCCCCTGGCTGTGCTGTGGAAAGATGTCGTTGGAAGAGGGACAGGACACCGCTCCTCCTCCCTGAGTCCCCGGCTGCATATCCTGCTGTCTCACTGTGGCTCTGCACTCCTCGGCCAGCAGCTGCGGGGCAGGAGCTGTACTTCGTCCCCGAGGTGACGGCGCAAAAGATAATTTATATTTTGGTGCAAAAGCACCTCCAGCTTCTTCAAGATGAAAGACTCTGTATAAAATTGAATTACGACCCTGCTTATTGGCAGCACCGCTGAGTGTTTCCAAAAGTGGAGTTAAACCCCTTTGGCATCTGCAGGCGGCTGGCTGTAAAGGGTCCTGGCCGTTTCAGAGCCCCACTTCCCCGTGTGGATTCTGCACATGATAAATCACTGTCCTCCAAGTCCAAAGGCGACGTTTACATTCGCCACAGTGAGGAGGATCTCCAACTGGCCCAAGCTGAGGCTGGAGCTCTGGGAGGTGAGGAGCACACACACACACACAAATACGCATGCACACACACGCACACACACTCACACATATGTATTCCTCAGTCATATTGTCCAAAATAGCTATTTCCTTGTCTTGCAAATTCCCATACATTCTCATGACTCTGTTTTTCTTTGTTTTTTACATCAGAGTTCTGACTTGGTCATGCTCCTTCCTTATTTTTTGCTAAATGGCTCTGCTTCATAGATCGAAGGTGTCCATGGGTTTAGCTCTCCTGTCCCAAGCCTAGGACTTGAAGGCCCAGAGCCCTGTTCAGCTCTGAGCTTCTGCTCAGATCTGCCTGACAGAGCTCACCAACCTGGCTTTTTTTTTTTTTAAAAAACCCCGTAGGTGTCTTCTCTTACTCCAGTGGAATTTTCCATGGTTATTTAACCTCGAATTTAGGAAAAGTCAGTTCGGAGGGCTCTGCAGATCCTCCTGAACCCTTCCATCTGATCTGAGAGCGCCATCCCTGGAGCTGGATGGGCGCTTCCGAAGCCAACCTCGCTTATTACCACCTCTCCTCCCTCCCAATGGAAACCTTGCGGTTAAAATAACTCAGGCTCTGTTCAGAGCTCAAACTTAGAGCTGCTTTTGGAGACTGATTTTGGATGTAAAAGTCTCTCAACAGAGGCATCCAATTTGGAAAATTCAGTGCTTCAGCCTCTCAGGAAGAAACAGGGATCTCCTCAGGTAAATGTTTTCTTCCCTTTCTTCATTATTCTGTCAAAAAAAACTGGCTAAGAATACAATCAGTGAACTTTGGAAGGAATGAACTGCTTTCTGGCCTCCTCTTGAAAGCAGGGCTTGTGTCTCTTTCTCTGAAAGAGGATAAAGAGCTGCAGGAAGAGGAAGCTGAGGAGGCATTTTCTGTGGAGAAAGGGCTGGGCCTGCAGGATCTGTTAGCCTGGGATCTGTGGCATCTGGTCATGTCTAGGTCAGGTAGAGCTGAGGACCCAAGGTCCATTGGGCTTTATCTCTGTCTGGGGAAGCGGTGCTGAGCTGGACACATGACTGGCTCACCCAGGAGTGGTTCCCACTGCTGTGTGGAATCTCTCACTCTAATTGAATAAAACTAAGCCAGTTCTCTTCCCTTTGTTACTTCTTTTTAAGCAGTTGAATGCACCACTCTATCTGTCTGTCTGTCTATCTGTATTCCGCAATTTCCTCTACTATTTTCATAGTTTTTAAACCCACACCTTTCTCCAGCGATAGATGATTTAAAAATTTGTCTGAAGTCTATTTTAAAATGTGTTAACATTTTCTTTGAATATCAATGAAAGTAACTATGCTCTTCTGAAAGGAAAGAAGGATGCTTTTGCAGAGGGGGAGGTCCCCTTGGGTCTCCCTTGGGCTGCGTAAGTTTTTTTGTTTGTAAACAGCCTTGACTTTGAAATCTGTCTTTGCCTTTCAGTGAGGCAAAGACATCCTGAAAAATCCATTCTGAAAAGTCACAACTTTTTCTCTGAGTGACTGTTACTATTCTTGAAGTTTTCATTTGAACAAAACTTCATTCCTATTTAATGCTAGAACCAAATCAGTCAGTGAACCAGTTGTTAGTCCAACATTTCTTCAGTATATGCTGTGCCGCAGGACAGAGCTGAGGGAGACTGCGTCAAAAAGCATCAGGACCAACCCGGATGTCTGTCATGTTCCTGGATTCCCACCTAAACACATGAAACGTCACTCAGCACTGCAGATAGGGCACCGTGCTACGCCGACTTCCAGGCAGGCTTTCGATGGTCCGTAGGGCTAAAGTGACCATGCACCACGGTCACTGGAGCTCATTGCATGCTAGGGACCACACTGAGTGTTTTTCAGTCTTTGCATGTTATCTCAACAGCCCTCGTTTTACACATGAGAAGACAAGCCAAGAGGGAGGTGACTGCACAGTGGCACCCAGAGACACAGCCTCCCTAGGTGCTCCAGCCTTTAGTCTGAGGCCAAGGCTTACGGAAAATGTGCCCAAGCAGAAGTGGTCCTTGGCCTGGGGCCAGAAAGGTCATGGGTTGTGGAAATGGCTCGAAGGAGCAGCTCTGCCCTGAGGGACAAGTGGAAGGTTCTAGATGTTTAAGGGACCACACCATAGGACAACACTTGCCCTGTTGGGAGACAGAACCAGGATTGCTGGGCAGAGAGAGTTGTAGGGTCCGGGACAGGAGGCACCATGGTGAGAGAAGTGGGGTGCAGCAGGAGTCCTGTCTGAGGAGAGCTACCTTGGGGCTTTCCAGCCTCTCCCTCACCTGCAGAATTGGCCTCACTCACTCAAGCCCCCTGTCTCCTGGCTCAGGGCCACATCTCACCTCAGCCGCCAGCCTCCCCTGACCCTCTGTGATCACCCTCATTGGCTTCCTTTAAACACTGTGGTGAAATACGCATAGCGTACCGTTTACCACCCTAACCATAGTTAAAGTGGATAATTGAGTGGTATTTAAGTACATTCAAATGCTGCATAACCATAACTACCATCTAGTTCTAGGGCATTTTCATCTCTCCAAATGGAAACCATCCCCATTAAGCAGCTGCTCCTCGTGGCTGTATCCCCAGCTCCTGGAAACCACTAATCTGCTTTCTCTCTCTGTGGATGTCCCCACATTGTTTGGAATCATAAATCATGTGGCCTTCACATCTGGCTGATGTTCCTTAGCCAGTGTTTCACGTGCGTCTGTGGTGCGGCACCTGTCAGTGCTCCATATGTCCTAGGGCTGCGTGGTATTTCCTAGCATGTATGTGTCCTGTTTTGTTCATCCATTCAGCTGATGGACATTTCGATTGTTTCCACCTTTTGCCTATTGTGACTGATGTTACAATAAACACGGGTATGCAAGTTTTTACTTGAGCATATATTTCCTAATCTTTAGGGCACGTACGTAGGAGTGGAATTGCTCGATCATATGGTGATTCTATGTTTAACTTTCTGAGGGGCTGCCAAAATGTTTTCCAGAGCAGCTGCACCACTTTATATTTCCACCATCCATGTAGGAGTGCTCAATTTCTTTGCATCCTTGTGCCAATACTTATTTTCTGGGTTTTTTTAAATAGAGCTAGCCTAGTGGGTGTGAAGTGGGATCTCGCTGTGATTTTGAACTGCGCTTCTCCGGTGACTGATGATGTGGAACGTCTCATGTATTTGCGGCCGTTTGTCCCATTTAATTCTTACTCTCTCTGACTTTTTCTCCTTACACATGTTTAATGACTTAATCACACCACGTCACATTAGGTCTTTATTTAAATAAATTCCTTTTCATCTGTATTCTTTTAGGACTGTATAACCTCGAAGAGGGTGAGCACTCTATCTTGTTAATTATTATATCTTAATACCTATGACAGTGTTTAGAAATATAAGATCTCCCCCCCCCCACTTCCCCCCTTCTCTGTCTTAGTTACTTTCTCATTGCTGGAACAAAAATATCCAACACTAAAAAGTTAATGGAAGAGAGGTTTATTTGGCTCACAGTTAGGGGAGGTTTCAGCCCATAGTTGACTGGGTCAAGGGCAAAGTGTCATGGCACAGTCGCATGGATGAGGAGAAAGAGCCCATCCATGTGTCTGTCCCTTCCAGATCACACGCCCAGTGACCCACCTCTTCGCATCAGGCTTCACTTTACAGCATCACATCCAGCTATAAACCCATTAGTGAACTAGTCCAGGATCGCACACCCATGATCCATCACTTCTCAAAACTCCCACCTAGGAGTACATAAGGCTTTGGGGGACATCTAGATACAAGACATAACACTTTCTTGATCTCCCACTAAATATACATAGAAAACATATACACATAAACATGTGCAGATACATATAACATACACAGCAAATTATGGTTATCTCCAGATCCTAGGCCAACAGCCTCCCCTCATCCTGTTCTTGGATCAGCAGTGGACAGCACAGTGGGCAGAATGCTGCAGCTCACTACAGGTCAGCTGGTCCGTACATCAGCAAGTCTGTACCTCATTCCCAAATCTCTCTATCCCCAGCTGATAAAGCCACAGAGGGATTGCATTACCTTTCCACCGTCCACCTCCCCCGTGGGAAAAGAAGTGGATACCTGTGCCCATGCCCTGAATGAAAGACAGTTAATGGATGGGGTGCAAACTTGTTCCCTGGAGGGTTTATAATGATTGTGTCTTGGTCATGGGCAACTTTTAGAGTCACAGTGGCTTCTTGGTCCCACTGAGTGAATTCTGTTCTTCCAGGTCAATGGTCGCTCCCACTGTGGAGCCCTGGTAAACAATGCCCTGGGTGAATGCAGATATGACATCCATGGAAACAGCTGAGGGTGGGAGCCTGGGGCAAACCCTGTGGGTGAGAGCAGATGCTGGGTCCCACATGACACTGAGAGCCACAGGGCATTGGGGGCCAGGAGTATCAAGCTGTGCCTCACTCAGATTCAGGACAGAAAAGTCTACTCCCAGAATGCTCCTTGTGCAACACACTCATGGGAATTGCCCAATGCACGTGATAGCTATTGTTCCACATGCTGAGTGTATGGAAGAGAACTTTTTATTTCACTGGGAATTTTCTCTTCCCTGGATATGTGGCCAAAGTATGACTTTCAAGGAAGGGATTTATTATTTAGGCTGGAGAATTTTGACTTCTGGATGGGAATTAAGTGGCTGACCTTAGGAAAACTAGCAAGAAAATGACCGTTCCCATCATTCCTCTTTGTCTGTGGATGCTACCAGCACACTCACATATGAGAAACAGAATTTTAGCGAGGATGCAACACTGGCTTTTTACAGGCTTCCACTTCTGTTGTGTGCCTGGAGTCTCCCTGATAGAATCATCTCCCCAGTGCCAAAACATCCCCTCCTACACGGCTCCAGTTCTAGAGGGTTCTTCTGAGTGCTACATGGACACTGCTGTCATGTTGTAACAGCCACCTGTGATATCATGCCACCCTGTCACAAAACGGAGCCCAGTGCTCTTTTTGAGCATTCTCCAGATGGGGTACATGTCTTATTTAATGACAAAACACAAACAAATAAAAAGTCTTCAGAGATGGTCCTTTAGGCAATTTGAAAGTGAAGAAGTCTTTTCTTCATTTGCAAATGTTGGGGCTTCCTAGGATGATGTGTTTCTCTCTCGTTTTGGAGACTGACAATTTTATGCATAAAAATATTAAGAACTTCCAAAATTGCTATGCAAGAATTCAAAGTAAAAACCCAAGAAATGTAAAAATCAAAAAATATTTTAGAAGTGATATAACCTAATTCTATCTTTCATCAAATGCATACAATAAAATATATTTCTCTGCACTGTTTTTTTCCCAGTACTGGGAATTGAACTCAGACCCTTGGCACTGGAGCTACATCCCTATCTCTTTATAGATACTTTCAATGAGAGACAGAGTTTCATTATGTTACTAAGTTGCCTAGGCTGTTCTGGAACTTGTGATCCTCCTGCCTCAGCCTCTCAGGAGTGCAAGGGTCACAGGCATGTGTCACTGCACCTCGTTCTACTCATTTTTAAAATTTGTATTAAAATCACTTTTATCAGAGATATAAAAACAAAACTGTACCTATGAATGGGGCAGGGTGTTGTGTTTTCTGACTCCATGCAATCGCTCACTGATTGTTACACTTGGTCATCCATCAAGTACAGTGTAAGCCCACTAAGCACCCACAGACAGTCCCCTGTGAGGGGTACATGCCACTGTCCTGTTAGCTTAACCCTGGGACTCCAGGTACCAC